AGCCTGCAGGAGAGTCCCCAGCAGCCCAGCCCCGCTGGGAGCAGCTGCAGCCGAGCACCCCAGCCGGCCGGCTGCTTCTTCCTGGAGCACTGCCCTGGGGGGCACACCAGCTTTCTTTCACCGCTGGTCCCAAGAGAAAGAGGCCGTGAAGGCCATAAAACAGAGGTCCTGTTCAGTCTCCAGGGAGAACAGAGCAGCAAGCACCAGGACTCCTCTATAAACAGAAGAACGGCCACCCTCCCTCGGCCCTTCTCTTACAACAGGAAACCGAAGCCTTTTCGACTCGCCGCCGCCCCGAAACGGGGCCCTGCCGAGGGCTGCAGGGCGCCTCCGGCTCCAGCCGAGCCCTGCGGGGTTTCAAGCGGGCAGTCCGACATACCCACGTGTGGAGTGGAAGCTGCCACGTCCCGTCCGCTTGCATCCCTGGGCTCTCCTGCTGGCTAATTACCGGACAACGCGCTGAGCAGTCCCCTTGTCCCAGCGTGCGTGCAGCTCGCCGACAGTCGCATGGGTACCCAGCGGGTTCCTCTCCACCGATAGCAGCTGTCTGCTCCGGGTTCCACTCCACAAAATGAAATTCCACCAGCGCTTTACGGCTCAAACTCTCGAAGGGAGGGACCGAGCGCCCCCGGGCCTGTCAACCCGGCTTCCACGCCTGTGAGCCAGGCATCTGCACACCCAGAACTGCTTGCTCCGTGCTGGGCCACGGCGAGGTTTCTGGCTCCACGTGACCAAAAGACGCCGGGACAGATTCTCCAGTGCAGCCGTGGCAAAGCGTGCAAGGCAGGGAAGGGTAAGTACTCCCTAAGGCAACCTCTACCCTAGCGCTTGTCAGTAGAACTTACACCACTGAGTGTGAAAAACACCCCCCGAGTGACAAATTACACCAGGAGAAGTGCCGACCATGGACAGCACTTTGTCAGCGGGAGCGCTTGCCCCACCAACGCCGCTCACCGGGGCTGGTTTAACGACGTCAATGGGGGAAGCTCTTTCCCATCAGCATAGAATGGCCACACGAGAGATCTGACCGCTAGAACCCTGCAAATCTGCAGATGGAGGCAGGTACCCAGGGCTCAGATTTGATGCAGATGCAAATTCTGTATCTAGAACTAGAGATGTGAAAACAAAACTATTTACATGAGCCTGGGCTCAGGGTCTAACCCAGGGAGGTAGGTGTTTGTGTTTGGTATGGATGGTGATGTCTGTGATTAGCTAGAGTGGCCTTTATTGATCTGTGTCTTCTCTTTTCTTCCTCATCAGATTAAATGAATATTCCTGTTTGAGTGATAGTCCACATTTACCGAGTTTCTGGAGACCTCCAGAGACTTTTACCATTCAAAAGCCCACAATATCTCTTGACTTCTAATAGGCATCCTGTTTAGATGTTAATTGGCACAGAGAGGGGGCGAATCCAGTTTTCAAGAAGTAATTGTGACTAATTTCAAACTGTCTTTATGAAATATTAAACTACATTAGCCAATCTTGAAATCAATGTCAAGTGACAGCCCTATGAATTCTATTTATCTCCTACATGGACAGCTGAATTTTTCAGCAGTTACATGATTACATAATGAAACGCATTTTAACTTCCCTAACTAGAACCCTGCAAATCTGCAGATGGAGGCAGGTACCCAGGGCTCAGATTTTGTATCTAGAGCTAGAGATGTGAAAACGTAAGCATTTACACGAGCTTGGGCTCATCGATTAACGTGCATGGTTACATGCAGCCCCCCCACCCATGTTGCTGCCTCTGTATCAGAGGCAGCAGCATGGGGAGGGGAGGGCAGAGCCAGGAGCCAGTGCAAATCTGTGGGGAGCCGCTTTATATCCTTAGGTATCCGCTATCCACGGGTGCAGATAACTACAGCTCATTTTTGCTGCTACAGATGCAGATTCAGAATATTGCATCTGTGCTGGGCTCTATGTACTGCAGCCATCCAGCCAGGCCACGCTAAGCTCCTAATGCAGGCACAGCCTCAATGCCTGCACCGGACAAGGCTGACAGTCGGTGCCTGTGACGACGTGGCGGGGAGCCCCCGGCCCTGCACCCCCATCCACAGCCAGACGTGACTCTCAGACAGCCAGTAGAGTAGAAGGGTTAGTGGTTCACAGGGACAGTGCAGCATAGGGTTGATGTTAGCTCAGACACCGAGAGCAGACGCCTCATTCCTCTTGGGGGGGGGGGGGGCTCACGGGCCCTGAACCCCCCTTTCCTGCTGCCAGTCTCCTCTGCTCATCCTCCCGAGCAGACACTCCCAGCAACGGGTCCTTCAGCCTCCAGGTGGCCACGCCCCTTCCTTCGTTGATTCCTCCACCTAGGCCAGGTGTCAGGCAGCTGGGCCAGGCCTACATGCCTGCCCTCAGGGACCACCCCCCGCTGGGCACTGCAGACACACGCAGTCTCTGCAGACCGGCATAGGGCAGTAGGGGTGTGAGGACGTCTGCAGCAAGGTGAGACTCCGCCAGCCAGTAGAATCGAGGGGGTTTATTGCTTCTCCAGGGTTCAACGCAGCGCAGACGCGATATGGGCACAGGAGTCAGGGCCAGGCAGCCTCAGACCCCTTGGGGTGGGGTTCACAGGCCCCTGAACCCTCAGTTCTCAGCTTAGTCTCTTCTCTTCATGTTTTCCCAGCCAACCCTGCCCAGCTCCCCGGCCCTGCCCCCAACCAGGTGGCCGTCTCCCCCC